AGCGTGGCCAGCAGGTCGAGGGAGGTGATTCTGTCCCTCTGTTCTACTCTGGTGAGACCCCACCTGCACTACTACATCCAGCTCTGGAGCCCTCAGCACAAGAAGGACATGGACCTGTTGAAGCGGGTCCAGAGAAGGGCCACAAAAATGATCCGAGGGCTGGAAGCACCTCTCCTATGAGGACAGGCTGAGGGAGTTGGGGTTGTTCAGCCTGGAGAAGAGAAGGCTGCGGGAAGACCTTATTGCGGCCTTTCAGTACTTAAAGGGGGCCTATAATAAGGATGGGGGCAATCATTTTAGCAAGACCTGTTGTGACAGGACAAGGCATAATGGATTTAAACTAAAGAATAGATTTAGACTAGACATAAGAAAGAAATTTTTTACAATGAGGGTGGTGAAGCACAGGAACAGGTTGCCCAGAGAGGTAGTGGAGGCCCCATCCCTGGCAACATTCAAGGTCAGGTTGGATGGGGCTCTGAGCAACCTGGTCTAGTTAAAACTGTCCCTGCTCCCTGCAGGGGGGTTGCGCTAGATGACCCTTCCAACCCAAAGCATTCTATGATTCTGTGATTTAATAGTGGAAGCTGTCTGATGTGAACAGGTTCAAACTACTTTGGTCTGTTAGCTCCACAGATTTACTTATTAACATAATTTTTTTAAAATTATTGCCTCTAGATATTTGACTTTTTCCACATGAAAAATATATTTAATGTTTAGTCAAAATAGGGCCTTCTCCTCAAGAAAATACACAAACAGCTCCTGAAAAAAGCACAATTTGAAACTGTGCGACCTTGTTTCTCTCCATAAAGGCTAAAAAGCAAAACTGGTTTTTAAAATCAAGTTATCCAGAGAAATGCATAACACTAAAAAAGACTTTTATTACCATAAATGCATAAAAACTGAACACAATTGAATTCTATCAAGCTAATAACTCTGAGAAATTTTCAGAAAAAGGTGATAGAGGTTCCATTTTTCAACCTTGGCTGCAGTAAAGGGGATCTGAGAGGCACTTGCCCTGCCCTCCCTCCAACTTTGAGGATCTGTGTGTAACAGGAAAAAAGAGCAACTTTCGTCACATAAGAAACTCAGGAAGCAGAAGTTCTCAAAAGAAGCATATGCTAAATATTTGAAGATAAATAACTTACCAAAATCAAGTAGACTCTGACATTTTGAAGTATCTGAAAGTTAAATTGCTATCTACTCCTGACTTTTGTCAGGAGTATTTAGAAATTATGCTCTTAAAGACTGTCAGCAATTTACAGTTCTCACTGTCAATTCAATGTGGCATTTTAAATAGAAATCCTACTACAAGGCATTTTTAATTTGGATTGATTTGGGGGAGGAGTGGAGAATAGGAAATGGTGCCCTGAACTTACTTCCACCTCCATCAACGAAGAGGAGGATCAGAGGTTGTATTGTTAAAGGGGATTGAAAAAAAAAAAAAAAACACCCAAAACTGCTTTTTTATAATTTGTCAGTTCATGCTGTACAAATTATGCTGCCCTTCTCCACTTATATTTCTCAAATTTGCTCTAAAGTAGAATTGGTATTTTAGAATAGTATCGCTGCTTGTACAATTGCCAACTAATCATGCTACAATCTTTATTAAAAGACCATGTACTGCACGGGTATGTTTACAGTTCCTACCTATTGAAATTCCACTAGAAAGGGTGGAGCTTTCTGCCTGCCCTCGGGATGGGACATGAGGCTCCATGACGCTGTCATCCAGTAAATGTCTTGGTCCTGCGTTGGGGAATGTTGCGCTTTTAAATTCAGCCGTATTCATTTTGTGTATGAAACTAGAAATGAACAAGGATAAAATTGTTACAACATTATCTTTGATACATTTCAAAAGTTGTTGCTTTAACATCCTCAAGGACTGCATGCAGTGTGTTCTGAATACCAAACTAAATCACCACTCAAGTCATAAGCAATTGTCCACAAACTATATTATCTATAGGAATTGCTAGTCTTAAAACTGCACAGCACTCTTGGAGCAAAGAGAAAGTCAGGAGTACTTTAAAAATTACTTTCCATATCCTGAGTTTTGTCTTACTATAAACAGTTACATAATTGAACTTCAGAATTGCATTCTAGCTCATTAAAGGTAAACTTACACAAATGTAAGTTAAGAGATGAATTACTGAATAGCTACAGTCTTGCATTTTGAAAAGAGAAGGGAATTGATGATATAACGATCAAGATATTAATTAGGAGTACACCTATATAGAAAAAACCTGAAGCCTAACTGAACCTAACTATACAAAGTTATATGAAAGTCTACAAAGGAGGTCTCACTATAAAAATACCAATAAGGCAATTATTTCAGTTTGAATTTGAAAGAATTACACTGGTATTGAGTTGCTATAAATGATAGTTTTGTCATTCAAAAAGAGCCTATTTTGTCTAACTCATTGGCTATTCTTATCATCATAACAGCTGCACAGTCGCCTTATTTTGACTAATTCTCTTTAGTTGGGATACTACCATTACAGTTCTGAGCTCGCTCTCTTGCCGCAAACTGGTCTCTAAGTGAATTAATGTGTACAAATCATGCTACTTTTAAAAGCAAAGCTTCTGCATTACACGATAATACATCAAAGCTTAGGATTTTCAGGTTAAATAAAATGCTGACTTGTATCCCAGACTGTGACATTTCCTATGTCCATGCGGTATCAGGTTCCGAGGTGAAGGGGGTGTTGGTGGCAGCAAGGCTCCCTCAGCTGCAACATTTTTCCGTCCGCTTTGTGGAGATGCTCCGACTTCAGAGCCTGGGAACAGAAAAGACATTACTCCCGAGTAACTTCAGAATTACTGTCAGGGCTACTTCTCAGAAAATTGTGGAAGAATTGCACAAAACTTCCTAAACCCCACTTGTAAGAGATAGCCTGTAATAAAACTCATTGATACACTCATATTGATAATTAAAAAAAAACTGTGCTTTAGGTTTTTCACACAGGATTAAAAATAAACACACTTATTTCAAATAGTCCATCTAGTTACAAGTATTTTGTAAGTCCGAAAGGTTGCTGCATTAGCTACATTGGCATTGAACAGGTTCCAATGATTCTACATTTTGAAACTCCTGCCTTCAACCACTTTTGGCATTGATCAAAAATGATGTACATTTTTGGAAGCATATTATACCATGAAAAGTTTAGATGAAGGCCTTTCTGTCTAGATGCAACAAAGAATGAATATTTAATAGCTCTTCACCCCAAATGACACTAACAAGTTAGTGCCACAATACATACAAGAACCTAAAAAACTGACTCAATACCTTGAAAGAATTTCTTTACAGATCACCTTTAGACTTTTTATTACAAATATGCAGTGTTTATACTTCACACTTCTTTATTAGCCTCAGGCAAATATTTTCCACGTTTGCAACTCAAAAATAATGCATTTGACAACCTCAAGTCTTCTCACATTTATTAAGCATTTACCTACTAAATCTTCTCTGGAAGCAGCAGAGTGGGGGGTGCTGGTCCCTGGTTCTATCTTTAATGAAAGTCTGCATTAAAGAAGCATTAAAAATTACTTTATCAGGAAATAGAAGCATATAAAAGTAAGTTTTTGAAAAGTTATTTTTTTAAATTTACAACTGAAAGCTGCCCATTTCTATAATTGCAAGAAACACTACAAAGTTAATATAAACCATGCATAATCATCTTTAGCACACACTATTTCCAAACATTCTTTTTTTATTTTTTTTGGGTGGAAAAAACCCTACTACTGCAACAGGGCCCAGGATTCAAAAAATGACATGCTAGGGCATAACGTAGTTAAGTGAGTCTACTGCTTTGGTTCATATAGACCGGGAGAGGTTTTCAATACCATGCTGAAGGATGACCAGACTCAACAGCAAAGCCTTGGCTACAGCACAGCACTGCGACCTCTTCTGCATCAGGGAGCCTGACGCAGCTGGCATAGCCAGCCACAAGCAGCCAAACAGCCACCAGGTGCCATCTTCACCATCTGCTAACAAGGTGTGGCAAAGTCACACCGTGGAAGGAGCAGGGGAAGGGGCCATTGCTCTGCCTTGGCATCACCCTCCCGGGAAAACATAGCCACATGTAAGCCAGGACCTACACGGCCCTGCAACTGCCGATACATGATCGGCATAGCAGATACATGTAACTCAGTGATGATACCACTACTTTAGCATAAAAACTGGGAAGAATAAAAAGTATGCGACTACTCCCCCCACCTTGGATAAAAGATTTATACTTACTACACTTCATATTTTAAAATTTTCTATCAAGTGCACTAGTGTGCCGGGCCAAGCCTTTCGTCCTTACTGGCCTAAAAGCCAAAATCCTTCTTTTGGAAAATACATTATCAACTTGACTGCATCCATAATTCAAGCTTTTTCTATAACAGGCACTTTTAAATGCCATTTCCAACAGTACCACAAAGAAGGCAGACTCCAGCAGCAGAGAACTGCAGGAAGACCAAGCATATTTTGTCCACAGTTTGCAGAACTGGAATCTTTGAAATTAGCAGGGTTGGAAAAGCATCTACTTAATTCTGGGGAGAAAAAATTTGAAGTTTGACAGCTTCCCTCCCTCCCATCCCCAGACAGTTTAGCAGTGATTCATTACTATTTTAAAATTTAATTTTTTAAAAATAAAATAAAATCCTTTAGGAAGAAAAAACATGTATTCAAGTCACAATGGCTGTTCTCAAACTTCAGCCTTTTTTCAGACACCTTAGGGGATAAAAAGTAAAATAGTCCCTTATAGAAAGAATAGTTCTTCAAAATACACTCCTCCCCCATAAAAAATTCAGTTTGGAGACGTACAAAACAGACTTTCTGAATAGCAGTCATATTTTGCATTACATGCAGTTGTCTCCATTCATTTCTCTGCTATCAAAACGTGGGTTGTACAGGATGAAGAGACTGTAGCTCCTTCAGCAATAAAATTCCCACTAGTAGCCAGTCCTACCTAGTGAAGGCGGAAGAAGGTTAAGTGTGGAATTCATGAAAACAATATGCCACTAAGAAGCAGACACTGCAGTTAAGAAACTAGGGTTTGGTTGTTTTGGGGTTTTTTTCCCCTTCAAGTGTTTGACCACAAAGCTTTACTCTCAGTGATAAGCAAGCAATACTTTCAAAATCAGGCTATAGAACATTTCAGCAAAAAGGTAAAGCTGGATGATTGCATAGGAACATGCAGACAACAATTCACAAGTCTTAGAAGGGAAGCCAAGTGTCTGAGCCCTCGTTAACTGTTCTTTGACATAAACTGAAGGGTCCCCATTTACTGCCTTTTAGTAAATCCAAGTTAGGGCTACTAATTGGTAACTGTATTTGTTCCTCTAGTGTGCATACCCCTCCCACCATTTGAGTGTAGCTACACAAGCAACCAATTCCACACAACTGAGGTGACAAACTTCCCGGGTAGGCAGGATGGGAATCAGTGGGGAATCTCCTCAAGCAGATCAGCCAGTGAACAAAAACTTTCTTCATATGCAACAGATTTGCTTTAGGTTTTTTCCTGTCCTCAGGGCTTGTTCCTGTCTCTTGCCAGCGGTTTCCATCCCCCAGTTTTGTTGGATTGCAAATCACTTAATACAGTAATAATCTTTTCATTAAGGAAGTAGAAACCTCCATTTTGGCTGGTATGCTGGGAGGAATGGGTGGGGATACAGATGGACAATATTTTGCCTCTCAAAAATCAAGTGTTTACATTTTACTCACACTGTATAACCTAATCAAAGAGAAAAATATAAAATGAAAGTGAAATATATATGAAAGTGAAAGCCTTAAGTCACCCTCAGTAAGAACTTGGGACTGGACGCACAGATGACTTTGTTCTGATGAAAAATGACATAAGCTGTCTCCAATCACGGGATGCATCTTATTGAATGAACAGTGTTACATGTGAGCCAGAAGTATGGAGTCTTCATTAGCAAACACTCAAACAGACCTGAAAGTTAGGGCTTGATGCAGTCAGGCATAGAAAAGGAAAGAGATATGCCATCCAGCATGCTGAAAACTGTCTTGAGCGCAGGACCCTGCTGTAACCTCACTACTTCCAACTGGTGCACCTGAGACGCATAATCCCGCAATACAAGTGCAATCTTAAAAGTGACAGGCTTATAACTTATAGAAGTTATTTTGTAATGAGTTACAGACAGTTATAGCATTTCATACTTACTTGTAATTGTCATCTTCTACAAACTTTTGTAGTTCTTCTATGTACTGAACTGAGTTCAGATATTTTTGGACATGAGGCAGCAGAGGAATATCTGGAGAACAGATGACATTCGTTATCACTGTACGATTCATTGGTAAGCAAAGTTATTTTCCAGAAACTATTTAAACAGAATCAGATCTCTTGCCTTTTTATGTGTGATGGAGGTACAAACTACAGTCCCTAGTGACATTGAAATTTTTGTCATTCATAGCAATTCTTATGCATTAAGCTGACATTCCCCACATCCATAAAGCCACTTACGTATCCCCCTAGAGCTGCCCTACTTATCAAAGCACATATCGGGGAAAAGTGAGAGAGCACCCCTGGTCAAACTCTTCAGTTCCCAAACCTGGAACCTGGCGGGTTGTATCTGAGACTCCTTCACAGCCTACATTCTTATTATATTGAGCTTTCACTAAAGCTACGATCCTGTGCTAATTCACATTCCACCATCGCAAACGCAGCCTTATGATTTTACTAGAACTTGAAAAGGGTTGTGAGGGAGACCACCTTTGAAGAAAAAAATACATTATCTGATCTATGAAGGGAACTATAAATGTCCAAAAGACAAGCTGAATGTATTTTATTAGCTCCAGTAAAAGTACTACTCTGAAAACAATCCTACTTTTTTAGAAATCATAGTCATAAAATTATGGAAGAGAGGGATACAAGTTTATAACATACTAGTAAAACTACTGTTAAGTACAATGTATTCCACATTTTTCATCAGAAAATATGTACTGCAAAAATGTGTGTGATGTAAGAAAAGGGCAATTTTATTCTGTCTTCTCACACTGACGCTCTATCATAACCAACAATACCAGAATAAACTTAGACTTGGGCTGAGAGGGTGAGGGAGAGTGTTAATGGCATTCAAATGGGTTGGGCCTTACTTACATTGCATTATAGAAGACAAATATTAAAGCTTTGGAAGTTGTTCTCTTTAATACTGCAATATTTACACACTAGCTTACCATATTCACATGACTGCTGTAAATCTGAGATAATTCGAAGAATGTTGTTCATTAAATTTGTTCTTTGCTCACTTTCCAGAATGCTCCCTGTTGATGGGTAGGCAGAGTCAATATATGTCAAATCTGACAGATAAATACCTGAATAAGAGATTAGAATGAAAAGTTTCTTTATTTAGTGTCTCCCGTTTAGGAGAAAAAACTCACAAACAGTATATTGAACAATTTTTGCTTTCATTGACTAACGTGCATGCAGGTTGACAACAGCATTGCCTCAGAATATTATTCTGGATTTACCTGAGAAATCATTCCACAAGATCTCCGAGAGCCTTCAGACATTAGAGTAAAACAGTAATAATGCTTGGACTTAGAGGAGAGTACATTGCCAGGCCACCCTTGTCTAGGATTGAATCTGCACCCTCCTCAATCACTTAATCCTTAGTTTTGTCAGCCTTATCTCAGCTGTATTCACAGATGCTGAGGGTATGAGTACAGCTAGGTTTCTGTGGGCAAGGTTTCATTCTCTGTATGACAAATCACAGTGGGAGGCAGAGAGGATCCTTTCCCCCTGCATCGCACTAGGTACAAACCAATTGACTTTGTCTTTAACAGTGTCATTATTTCTAAATCTAAAAGTAATTACAAGGACATGCACAACTACTCATGAACCTAATCTTCTGCCATATCACCAATTACTTATTCCCTTGACAAACAGGAAGTGTACTAAACACACAATGCTAAAATACAAATCAAACAACAATCAAAACTACTAATGATTTTAGGAAGTCTACTGCTTCATTCCTCCAATTCAGCAATTAAAAAAAATAACAGAAGGAAAAATCATATTATCTATAATTCTTCAAGCTGAATAGAAACTCAAACTCAACTTGCAGCAACACGGGCAAAGTTAACTAGGCAAAAAGTTCACTCAGATTGAAATGTGGTGCAAATCCCGCAGTTCCTGTTAATCACAACTCCAAAGATCCAACAGTCTTATAGATAAGTCTCTTCAAGACTTCGACCTGCTTTCTTTCCCATCGCCATTGTAAGCTTTCTAGTTTTTCAATCCCTTGATCATGTAGATAGGAAAATCCTCCCCCTCACATACTAATGCTGTAGATAAACCACTTACTCTAATTCTAAATTCAACTCAGTTTCTTGAACTTCAGCCAAAGACTGATCATTTTTGTCTCAAGCTAATGAAACATATCCTAAACAACTCAGCTATTAGAAGGAATTGCTCTTCGTCCCCTGCATCCTCCACAAGATAGTCAAATTAAAAAAAAAAAATTAAGTTTGTGTACAAGAAACTTATTTCAGTAACAGGGAATTTCTAAAATTATATTTTGCTTCACTCTCAGCCTTGTATAACCAGAATCATAACAAGAAGTTCGGCTTTACAGGTGGAAGACTATGAATATAACCTCACAAGAACAGCAGTTGTGTTTGTATAGCACCTAACCAGTACAGCCCTCAAATGTGAGTTGGGAAACTGGGCATCACTCCAAAATCAACACATACACACGCGTGTGCACACACACACACAGAAACAAATTAAAATACCTGTGGTTGAAAGGTGACATATAAAAAAGTGAATAAAAAGGTATTACACATGACCTGATATACTACTAAATTTCTCAAATTTTCTATTCTGCTATAATCAGTTAATTAAAAAATAGAAAGGATAATCAGAAACATCAGATAGCATAGCAATATAAATATGAATATCTAGACTACATAAGCTATCCTGAACCGAACTTTGCTAAGCAATGTGCAAACAGGCCTTAAAAATCCCAAATCTCCTCAATCTTCCACAGAAAGCAGTAAATCATGTTTACTAGTTATAATTAAGGAAATTCACTGTGAACAGGCACATGCAATATCATGCATGATTTTATAAACCCATGTATTTGTAGGATTATCTTTCTGAATGACTTGCTCAATTAAGCATTGATTTTTTTCTTTTAGCTAAATCAAGAGCTCTTCTGTAGAGAGCTGTTCTCTAAACTTATTCAATGCATTTCTATGAAGCCTAAAATTATTTTGAAAACATACTAGGGTAATTCTCTTTCAAATACAACTGGCATGTCCTTTGTGAAGAAACTGAAAAGATCAGTGAAAGCAAACTGAATACACTTAAGTGCTGGCTGACTATTGACAGAACTAAAACCAGTATTCTGCATTCCTTACAGGGCATAATCTCTGTGGCTTTTGCTACTTCTAACACCAGTCAGATGTTATCAAATATTCTGATACCTACCCAAAACCATCACACACAGTTTTAACATTTTCCACATGTATTGGAGACTTCATGCGTTTAACAACTGGAACTGTTTCTTATTAAGTGAACGTCAAGAATTGAATGCGACATTCTGTTGAACATTCTTCTAGACTATAAATGGTTCATTTTTCCTGTTGTATCCAGCCAGGCTGCCCCTTTTATTCCCAGCGACACAAATAGAGTTTTATCAGCCTGAAAGAATCTTTCTTCTAAATGAAGCCCAGTACTGTAATAACTTGAAAGGCATCTTTAGGCAGCGTAGTAAAAATGTTTGATTTGTAATTGCCTGCTGA